CCCCCGCCGCTGGCTGGCGCAGACAGTGCAGAGGGGCAGCCCCCGATCGGAACACAGCAGCGCCCGACGATCGATGCCGACCCCAGACGGGCCTGCCTGCCGGGGGGAAATATTCCGTCCGCTTCGGTTCCCGGGTCTCGAGCCTCGCCCCCCCCCCCCCCACGGCCCTCGGTGTCCTCTCCTCATCTGGCGCGCTTCGTGAAAATGTCATTTCTCCCTCCCTCTCCCTCCCTGCCTTTCTGTCTCTTGCCCCGCCCGTGCTGGCGCTCTTCCCCAGGCCGGAGCATTCACCTGCCGGCCCCTGCCCGGGGCTTCCCGGCTGTCTCGTTCCGGCCAGGGGACTTGTCCCCCCTCCCCCCCCGCCCTTCACACCTCCTCTCCCGAAACAGGCCATCCGTGTTGAGAGAACGAAGGCCCGCAACTCGGGGCCAACCCTTCGGGCGGTTCGTGGTGACCTCGCCCCGCCCCGCCCCTCCGTTTACCGGCCATCAGGACAAGAGCATTTTCAAGGGACCTGGAAGAAATGCCACGCATGATAGGGCTCCTCTGCTCATGGCGGAGCGCCCCTCTGGAGAGGTGTCAGCGGGGGGAACCCGGCCCCTCGCGCGTAGCCCCGCCCGCCCGAGGGCGCCTCCCCCCCCCCCCCAGGAGCATGCATTCCCCCCCCCCCGCCCCCTGGGGCATTCGTCCAGCCCTCAGCAGAGCGTCCACCTCAGCTCCCTGGGTCAGGACTTTGGCGCGGGCCCCCACGCAGGAGCACTGGCAGGGAGCGCTCGGGCGCCTGGCTGCTCCCGGCCCTCCCGGCCCCTCCCCAGCAAACGCGCGCAAGCGCGTCACCAGGGTGGCGGGACCATGGTCCTCCGGCTGGTGCTCCCCGGAGGGCGCGCGTGACCTCGCGCCCACATAACACGCAAAGAAATTCGCCGATATTTTTGCATGTCCCTTTTCTCCGCGGCAGACTACTACCAGCTCGCCAAACAATGTTCCCCTCGTTGGTCTGTTCGTCGGTGAGGCGATAGCCTTTTGTCAACGATCCGTGAGAATGGCCCGGACAGGCCCTCCCCCCCGCCCGCCACCCACCTTCGGCAGGACCGGAGAAAGGAAGAGAGTCTCACTGCCCTCCGGCCGGTTGGCTCCTGAGTTCCGGACACGCCCCCCAACCAGGACCGGACGGGCCGGGCGGACCGGGGGATGCCTGAGACTCGACCTTTTTCTGGGGCGGGCGATCCTGGGGCATCCCGCCTCCCCTGGGCCCACCGCAAACACCCTCGTCGCCTCCCCCCTCCCCCCCCCCCCCCCCGCCCCCCCCCCCCCCCCCCCCCCCCCCCCCCCCCCCCCCCTGGCCCCTTGCCAGCCTACTTCCCGCCTCCTCCCCAGCACCATGACCGCACGGTCTGATGGTCCTCGCTCAGTGAAGCGGGTGCCCATCTTCCGCGCCTTCCACCCCGACAGCCAGGTGGCTTCCTCCTTTGAGACCCGTTCTCTTTCTTCCCTGACCCTGGCCCGGGGCCCCGCCTCGGGGGGACACGGATCCGATGACGGGCTCTCCAGCGATCTGAGCTCCAGCGAGGGCAGTGGCCCTGACAACATCGGTGGCCCGGGTGACAAGCGCCCCCGGCCGAGCGAGGAATCGCCAGCCTCCCCGACGGCCAAGCGCCCGCGTGCCGGGTCCATCTCCGACGAGGATGCCGAGTGCGCGGTCATGGCCGCGGCTGTCGCCGCTGCCACCAGCACCACCACCCTACCGCCCGCCTGTCCATACACGGTTTCGGCGCTCGTGGCCCGTGTGGACAACCAGGAGCAAGCCGCCGCCCGGGCCCGGGCCTTGGCCGGAATCAAGGGCGAGGTGCGCCCCCC